AGGCTACAACAAGAAGACATGCAGGTGTTGCAGTAATTTTCTGATTTTATTTCAAAATCATTATCAAACCTGAATATTACAATATTGAAATATTGTGTTGTCTTGATGATTGCTCAAATCTTGAGTATGCTTCTATTCAGAGTAATGCTGTATTTTGTGTTTTCAGGAAGTTGTGGGCTGAAGATGGACTCTGATATAACTATATCTATAGTTATTACACTGTAAATTTCAGGGAGTTGAATCAACTCCAAAAGTGTTATTCTGTCCTTGAAATTTACTGTGTATAAATAAAATCAATAGACCTTATGCATAATGACGTCACAAGGCTTGATGTCTGCGAGGAATGCTGGTCTTAGTAGTCATCGCCCCGGCAAATTAAAACAATTCAAAATGGTCACTATCGAAATTTTCCCGGGCAATGACTACTAAGACCAGCATTCCTCGCGGGCATCAAGCCTTGTGATGTCATTATGTATAAAGTCTATTTGTTGAGCTACACAAAGTAAAATCACAGACATACCACAGTGGTACCAGATGACTCTGATTGCACAGGAAGGCTTCTGAAAGTTTCCTTCTTTAAATGACTAGTAAATATATTGGAAAAATAATCAAATAATTTTAACATAAAGTAACAAGAATAAAATAGGTGTAATACCAAGAAAATAAAAATTCATATGCTGTAGATTATATTACATAGATATACTTCGATGTTTCAAGGCAGAAGGCCTGGCCAACTCAAGACAAATAAATGGCCTTGGGCTCAAAATACATTTTATCCATTCAACGGCTTGAATATTGTTCAACACACACTGTTGGAGGGTACAATATATGGGGAGTAGAATATTTTGCAAATCATAGTGTTACTAAAAGTACCAAGTTATCAAAACATCATATATAATTTGTTTTAGTTAATGACAGAGATTCACAAACTTTAAGATTCAATTTGTGACTTGTGTGACCGATACAGTAAATGAGCCACCTGGGGTGTTTACAATGCAGGCTACTGCAAGGCCTATTCCTCGTATCAGCATGTAAACATGTTTAATTAACTTTTAAAAAATGTAAGAGGCAATGTGCTTCAATTCATGCACACTAATGAGCTTGCATGTTTACTGCTGTTTTACCGGCCCATGGATAACTGCGGGTAACCTGGTTTTTCATTTCAGCCAATACTAATTGTCATTTTCTTGGAATGGCTGAATAACCCATGGTACTGTACAATATGTACATGAGTCAGACAGTATGATCACTGATCAATTACAAACAATTAGGTTTACAATTTCACTCAAGTCAAGAGATACACAAATGACAATGGGCTACTACTAATAGGATAATAGTCTAAGAGGACTTGAAAAAACAGCCGATCACTGATCAATGATCAGCAAGAAATTGCTTATGATCGGCAGAAAAACAGTGACGGTTTCCAACCTGAAAAAGCAGGGAAAGTCATGACTGACGATCACTGTGATCGGGAACTTTGGGAATGTTACTTCACGCCCTGGTCTAAGTGCACACAACTTCAGTTGATGGGGTCAGCATATATAAATAAAGGTTCTATCTATCTATACTGTTGCATCCTCATTGCACATGGCAGTGGGGGTTAATGACCAATGTATGCTTTTTACAATGTTGATGATAGTCATGGAAATGTTGATAATTATGGATGATCCCTTCATGAGTAAAATTGTCTGGTATACAGACAGCCACAGTAAAATAACAAACCATGGGGTTCACTCAAAACGTTGAATTTCTCCTTGTATTTTTCAGGTAGTTACAGTGCATCCCCTATCCCTACCAACCAAGTTTTCTCAAATCATCTAATTAACCAATGAATTCTCATAACCATGAGTCTCATTCTCCCCTTTATCACTAAAATCATCTGGTACTATACATACTAAAATTAGGGGGCATTCCTGATTTTAACAGGTTAACCCAATTAACCTTAACAGGTAAATTATAACCCATATTGCTGTACTATCCAAACATGAAGCTGCAAATCCACTTTCCTCACCCCTTTCTATTCCACTTTACAAAATAAAATGTGATTTTTTTCTGTGTTGGTGTTATGTACTCAGGTGAATATGATGTTTGTGATGTTACTCCGAGTGTATATCCACACCGGGCAAAGCTTGAAAAATATGCCTGGATCGAACCTTGTGGTGGGCATTGAAAGCAACCATGGCCAGGCATATTTTTCAAGCTTGCCAAGTAACATCACAAACATCAAAATAAAATGTGCTGTATTTCCTGGGGGAGTTGGAAGGCATGTTGACCTATCAATGACTATTGATAGGTGGATTATGGTACCGGTAATAGTCTCTCACAAATATTATATAAAAATAATGTTTCGGCAATTTGCCCATAGTGCATTAATGCACATTAACAAAATAAATATTCTGTTGGATTATATTCTGACCATGTGACCCCCACCTCTAATAGCTATATATAGCAAAACATAGTAGGGAATTATGTAATAGTATAAGGAATTAAAATATTCTTCGAGCCAAATGTTCAAAATGGTGGAAAGGGCTAAAATTCCTTTATGAGTTTATGATACTGCAAAAGAAAAATTTCACGAGTACACATTAGCCATCATTCTGTCACTGGTCTGCTCAAGAATAGTCTGTCCCCCACATTCAAAAATTTTATTTGTCACCTTTGTTCCCTTTCTCACACTTAAAATTTGAGTAGATATTAAGTACTTGCCTTAGGAATTATATTAAGCAATATATACAACATGAATGTATACAAGTACGTACATACAGTGAACGAGGTCTACTGTATGTGTACTCGTAGACCTCTTATACAAAAAGTATTATTGTGACCAAAGAGAGGAAAACAAATTATGATACATTTTTATATATACTGTATATGGTGGCATATACATACTGTATATGGTGGCATATTTTTATATATACTGAATAATATGGTGGCATGCTTAGGTTTGAATGTTTGCATCTCTACTCTGTGTTTCACACTAAGTAGAAAATGTTCTCAAGTGTGTATTTCATAATTTCCATATCCAGCGTAAGCAGGAAGATAAAGTCTGCCGCCGCTGGGTCTTGAACCCGCGACCTTCAAGTTACTAGATCGAAGCTCTACCAACTGAGCTACACGGTCAGACGGATTTAAGACTGGAAATTATGAACTATATAGTGAATGTCATAAACATACTTGTTTATATTAATTCAGTATCGAACCATACTGGTTCTGCAAGTGTTATGTTATGTTGTGTTATTGTTCACTCCATAATATGATAAGTGTGTATATATCGAGTGTATATATATACGGTATATATATATATATATATATATATATATATATATATATATATATATATATATATATATATATATATATATATATATATATATATTTATAATATAGTCATCCACCATATATGAGCTGTTCTGCAATCTGATTGGTTGAATTACTCGCCGTATATCAGCTCATATACGGCGAGTAGCGAAAAACAAGATGGCGGTCCAAAAACTACATGAGTTTTGCGAAGCAGAAAAAGGAAAATATTCGCTTTGAAAAACATAATAGTACAAGGAAAAACTCTCAAAAAAATTTGACAGGTTAGCAAAATACATTTATTACGTAGAAATTAGTTTAAATCCAAGTTTTTTGAAGAATTAATACCGAAACAACAGCGAAAAAACATGTTCATTGAGAATATAAATTGTTCAGAAAAGTTTGCAATGAACGACAAATGAATTTGCAGTCAACAAGCACTTACTATAGTACCAAACATCTGTATAATATATCTGAGCTTTCCTGTGAAATATAGAGGTTCTAAAACCATTTCTTTCACTTCGTTTTCGAGTTGTAAAACAAAAGTATTTCAAATTTTCAAGCGGTTTTTGGCCGAACAAATTGTCAACACATTGTAACAGTGAATAATTAATTACTGCTTCAGTTAATGGCTATATTAGACTATATTATAAAACAATTATACCATTCGCTCTCGTCGTATATGGCTGATAGCCGACTCGGTGCCACGCACCTCGTCGGCTATCAGCTCATATACGACTCGAGCTCATGGTATAATTGTTAAATATACACTCAGAGTATAAACATTAAAAACATATTCACCTAAGTATATAATGTACATCAAAACACACACAAAACTTAAAACTAGTCCAATGCTCTGGGTTGCTATAGAAATCTTATTAAGCCTGCTTATTAATTATTAAAGACATGCATAAATATTTATAATAATCGAGTAAAATATAACAATATAGCTCGACTAAAACGTACAATATGTTCTGCCAATTTTTGTGTTAGCAAATAAAGTATACACAAGTGAAATACTTACACTAATATTATCAATACGACAGATATATCGACAGTCTTTAACAGTTGCAACTTTCTGTTTGTTCACAGCCAACAAACACAACAATTCTTCGTTTGTATTGATTTTCTATTAACAAGCACAATGTCAACGGCTTTGTTTGAAACTTTGAATATAGTTTGAAACTTTTAATACATGTAAACACACGACATGAAAGTCTGACTATTTTTGTCAGCTGGAAATTACAGTTACAGTATAAAACTTGTCCCGTTGCACTGACGTCACAAATTCTAGAGCACAGAATATTATTAAAGCACACAGAAGGCGGGTTAGGTTAAAATGGGGAAGCGGATGCGGAACGGATATGGGGTTAAAATGCGGAACGGGAACGGATATGGGGTTAAAATGCGGAATCGAGTTGAATGGGACATTCCATCTTTCACCGAATGAAAATATTCTTACCATTGCACAAATAAAAACATTCATTATTTGTTTTATATAATACCAAAATAGACTAATATTGCTTTTTCAAGAACAGTTTATTAAAACACCATTTAATATATACCTTATTATATTCAATACTTTGTTAGATCCGTTGTGCTCAGTATAAATCGTTTTGGGTCAAAACAATGCTTTATTGATTCGCTATGTGAGGCGTATGGTGGAGGGACGATTGTGCAGCTGTATGCACGCTATTTGAAAGATGATTTGGAAGAAAAGGAAAGAAAACATGCTATCCTTGAACCAACGTTCATGGGGTACCAGGGAAACAAGTACTGGCTTCTTTCAAATAAGGTATGATAAAATGTCTATTTATACGAGTTTTTGAATTACATATTGGCGATCACCAAAACTGTTTCTTTTAAAAACTGTTCGTATATTTAAACTTAATTATCTAAAAATTATAAATCATGATCTAGATACTTAGGATACATATTTAGTTTTGTATGTGTTTATATGTGAAAAAGCTGTAACGCTGAGAGAACGTTTTCGTAGTGTAATCACGTATTGAGGCATTATAAAACATTGAGCGCACAAGAGAGATATTGGGTATGTATAGTTCTGTACTTTGCAAATGTTTATATCATTTTAAAATAAATTATTATCATACATAGTTACAGGTGGAGAATGGCAAAATACTCGACCCAATCGATCACAAATATATGATTGTGAATGATCACCTCAAGGAGTTCAGCCTAGAACCAAATAGGGCTTTGCTGGAGGATTTTGCATACCTAAACAATTCAATCAAGGAGGTATGACCATAGTGCATCTATCCACCACTAGCTTGATTTTTATTCAATAATTTACAGCTATCCTCAATGAATTCAACAGCCTAATGGCTTATATATAATGACGTATACTGTCTTCCTACCTTCCACGCACCTCATAACGTCGCTAATTAAAGATAAAACAGTTTTCACATTTTCTACTGTCATATCATATAATGCTCTAATCTCAGAACCTTTATGTGTGAGAAACCATTTTCCACTTCTTTCGTTCATTAGCCAGCGCGAAAATAATGTGTGAAACAATTACAATAGCGTGGAAAGGAATTGCAATTGACAGTGATGTAGACATTGGTGTTAATCCATGATTATTATGCTTTAAAGGTTCTTTGTACTTTCTGGAGGATATGGGCAAAATGCTGCAGCATTTCATCTGGCAACAGCATTTACTGTTTCCAGAATGATAAGAAATGCGCTTAATGCAAAGGATGTTTGGAGTAAGTGAAAACTAGGCTAATATCATAAAAAATTAATGTAAAACTCTTTACAATATAGGTATAGTTGGGGAGATGGCACTTGTTCCTATACGGTTTCCACGAGAAACCATTAAAAAAAGCAAAAAAGCAAGTAACCAAGCAATGCAACAAAGTATAAAAACGTGAAAGTTTTAATGTTCCAAACTCATGATCCGGCTTTATCTTTATTTAGAGGAGAGTTCAGTGGGAATGATATTCTCGCCACCAAAGTGTGTGGGAAAGTCCCTAAGTTTGTATCTTTTGGCTCTGGGTCAAGGGGTACCTGAACGGGTAAACCTTATGTTCCTACGTGGTGGGAACCAGCAGCTGTGCGGTAAATCAATGTAAGTATACCACATTGAACTGAAGGCAGGTATATAATAATCTTGTTCACTCCATATACTACTTCTAATAAACTATTTTTATTGATAAAGAAAGAAGATGCAGGATAGTCTTGCAAGTACGACCGGGGTTGTCATGACTGACGGCCTCAAAATCAGCAAGTCCTTCTCTGAATTCTTGCTGCAAGTCCAAGGCAGATTAATTGTTTGGCTCCAAAACGGAAGGAATGAGCCACCCAAAAGCAGCTACATTAATCACTTCCTATTCTCTTGAAATTGCACGGTAATGTTATTAAATTGTTTGCTAAAAGTCTGTA